TGGAGATGCTACACCTACCCTTCGGGGTCAGGCGGAGGTCGGCGTTGTCCGGCCTTAGAGAAGTTCGAAACTCGGCCCGGCTGGTGAACATGCGGTAAGGCTCTGTCACGCCTCGACTTACCAGGTCGTCAATGAGAACTCCAATATAGCTCTCTGTTCGAGACAGCGTCACTGTGGGCATGGAGAGCGCCGAGCGGGCAGCGTTTGCTCCCGCCCACAAACCCTGCTCAGATAGAAGAAGAAAAATCAGTTGCTCCTAAGCTGCTTCCAGCTGTGTGTGTGTGTGTGTGTGTGTGTGTGTGTGTGTGTGTGGCTTTAAGGAAAGAAACAGCTACCTGTGCGGCAGCCTCCTCGTACCCCGTCGTTCCATTGATCTGACCGGCCAGAAACAGACCTTGAGTGCTCTTCACCTGCAGCGCCGGGCTCAGCTGAGTAGGACACACAAAGTCGTACTGCACGCCATAACCTGGAAATCCCAGAAAACAAACATTAGACTTTCAGTTCTGGAAACCAGCTTACTTCTGTCAATCCATTTTTTTTTAGAATTAGGGAAGAATTGAGGGAACTGTCACTGCTCTCACTTGTTACTAGGCAGATCAAACAGGATCTAAGGACCTACCTGGCGTGTGGATCTCAGCTCTGTGCATGGGAGGGATTTCTCTGATGAGGCGTAGCTGTATGTCAGGGGGCATTGTCATGGACAGACCCTGTGGATACAGGAGGTCAGAGGTCACGCCCTCGGGCTCCAGCCACACCTGGTGGCTTCGGCCTGGAAAGCGCAGCACTCTCGACTCGATGGAGGGGCAGTACCTGTTAGAGACGAAGACTGCGCGTCATTCCAATTCAGCTCGATTGTTTCAGTTTTGCATAAAAATTTTATGATACACAGTTACACTGATGTTTTTGTTTTTGTGGCATTTTCTTCACAAAAACTTTCATGTTAAAACGAATCTACATGCTTTATTTTGCATTAAACAGCAGAAAATGATGGAATAACTGAAGTGATTCCTTCTGAGTTTCAAACCATTGAGTCCAAAGTGTGTGTGTGTGTGTGTGTGTGTGTGTGTGTGTGTGTGTGTGTGTGGGTGTGTACCTGGGACCTTTGGTGTCTTGCTGTATGTGACAGTTTAGTTGAAGGCTCTCCCTCACCACTCTCTCCACACCCGGTGTAGTAAAGGTGAGGTAGCAAGGCAGCTGCTCTTCTGGCTACAGAGGGTTACATTTCAAAATAAAGCAGGAGGAACAATAAACTAGACTGTGAGTTAAAAAATAAAAGTCCATTCATTCAGCTGTACCTTGCAGTGGGTGTGGGTATTGAGGAAGCTGAAAGGAGTCGGGTGACTGTCGGGGAGGTGAAGCTTAGCCAAAGACAGGTCTACTGAGTCCTTCACAATCCTGGGAGGGGTACCAGTCCTCAGTCTGCCTGTCCTTAGCCCCAGCCTCTCCCTCAGCGTATGGGACAGCCCAGCGCTTGATGGAGCGTCTCCAATCCGACCCCCGGGGGAGGTAGTTTGACCCACAAAGAGGGAGCCAGACAGGAACGTACCAGTGGTAAGAACCACTGATCTGGCTGAGATGGCGTGGCTGCCATTAGCTGCTTGTTCAGGAAGTGCAAAAAACATGAGAAAGTAAATTCAGTGTATAATATGTACCGTTTGCCATTTAGATCCTTGTCCTTACACTTCACCTACAACACCCCCCTCCTCACCCCACACCAAGGAGGATTTCACACCACCTCCTCCCACCACAACTCTTCATATTCATGAAGCAGATGTGAGGAAGCAGTTTAAGAGTCTGAATGCTCGAAAAGCTCCTGGCCCAGACGGTGTGTCTCCTGCCACCCTCAGACACTGTGCAAACGAGCTGGCCCCAGTGTTTTCTGGCATTTTCAACTCCTCACTGCAGGCATGTCATGTGCCTGCCTGCTTCAAGTCCTCCACCATAATCCCTGTCCCCAAGAAACCTAGGATCACTGGACTAAATGACTACAGACCTGTGGCTCTGACATCTGTGGTCATGAAGT